ACTGCCACAAAAGCAGCTTCAAATTCAGCTGTCTTAAGAACAGCTCACTCAAATAAATAAACACAAATCTGTTGGATGATGCCACTGGGGTCACAAAAAGAAAGAAGATTTGAGACTGTTTAAAAAAAAATAATAGTATGAAAAACTAGGTTAGGCAGTGTGTTAAAAACCTTGTAAAGAATAGACAGAGCGTGTGTATGAGGTAGAGTGACACTTTCCTTTCTCCAGCAAGATAAACATACCTCCATCTGAGGGAGCTGTTCTTTGCAGTGCGAGGCTCCCAGCAGTGCGGGCTGCAATAACTGCGTTTTCTGCCACGGGGCAGGGGCAGTCAGTGCATCCTCATTTCACAGGTACACAGGGTGAACATTTCCAGTCACTGTTTTAGGTTATTCCTCAAAGGTCCACCACCTCAAGAAAGTTTTGTTCCAACTGGCTAGCAACTAGAAACAAGCTAATTACTGTAACACTTACCGAGGAAGGAGGTGGTGGCTGGACTGTGTAGGGGGGAGGTGGTGTGTCTGTTATTTCAGGATCATCGTGTTCACTTTCACTGTAGCATTCTGAGGCAGACATGGAAAATGAGCAAAAACAAGGTGTTAGACCAACACTCATTTATTCCTCGCAGTGCTGTGGTAACCAAAGATCACCAAGTAGGATGTTCTGGGCTTAGGACCATACTGTAACAAGTCAGTGTCTCCCTACAGTGCAAATTAACCCACTTGTGGTAACGCTACACTACTTCATGGCAGCCTTTTTTTTTTTCTTCTTAAGTCAAAAAAATTGCTATTTTGCTATGGCAGGAAACACTAGGTGGCACTGCTCTAGATAGCTTCACAAATAGGTTTGGGGTGGGGATTTTTCCTCCCTTTGCAACCTTTAAAAGGAAGGCTGCCTCATTCGTGGTATAAGTTAGGGAGACCTGTTGCAAGTAGTAGATGCTGTCCCTTAATCTCTGTAACCAGTAATTTTTCCTGGAGCTAGCAACAGGCATTGCTGTTCTGGCTGCAATTTTGGAGAAGACAGATTGCTCGCATGGTGCTTTGGAATCCACAGAGCAGCCTCATGAAAGTCTTCTGTCACCACACGGTAACTCACATAGGCACACCATGCAGCATGGCAGTACATGTGCAGAGCTAATGCTAAAAGTAAACACAACACTCTAGGACTATACACGCTACTCATCTTTTTTTTAAATAAAAAGCAAGCTGATAGAGCCTCAGTACCTCTTGACATGTGGCAGAGAGGCAGTCATGTTATTTCTTTCAATTACCTATGTACCAGGTAAAAGCATTTTTTCAGATGCTTTTTAAAAGTGGATTAGATGAAGTGATAATCATTGATAAAATGAGATACGCAAAAGGGGAGGCAGTAAGTTACTGGTTCCTATTCTCAGGGCCTGGTTGTAACCACTGGGCAAGATCACTTCGCTCTGCTAAATCTCCCAGCACGCATCAGCCTTTCACATCCAACCTTTATGGGAGGCAAGTGCTTGCATCCTGCCCTGCATCATGTGTGAAGGGTGACAGCGCTCACCGCCACCCAGCTGAGCTGGGGACATGAAAGGTTGCAAAGACATAGTCAGAGCTTAATGAGGACAGCATGAGTGAGTGTCACAAGAGCAGAGGCTGCCCCTGTGGTCTCCACGGAGCTGGCACTCTGCACTGCCTCTCCCTCCGCCGGCTGCACGCAGCAGCTTGTGCTGTCCGAGAGCAGCTGGGTTTCTCCAGTGGAAGCAACTCCCCAAGTGGGCGAGGGTTGTTTATGTTCTGGGACTACTTTGTAAGAGCTGGACTTCATGGGTTCACACCACTAGAAAGCAGTCTGTTAGCACCGTCTCTGGAAAATCACCTTATTTAAAAGGTTATCTCATCTTTTAACTAAATTAATACCTGCACACTTTCTTTTTGTGCATGTTATTTGGGGGGTTTAATAAGCACCATGTTAGGGGAACAAAGTTTTAAGAGAGAAGAATTTTATACATGAGAGAGAGGTTTCCGAGATGTTAATAAAGTGAAACTTAAAGAGATTCGTTACTTTTTCTCCCCATACTGTTTGCAGAACTACAGGGGGTTTTTAATAGCATAGATGCTATTCTGTTTACTGGAAATATGTGCTGGCACATCTTAGCATAAAGGACTGAGACTGGCTGCAATAAGGCCTATATCAAATTCTAAGGCTCTGTTAATGCCTTCTTGAATAACTCTTAGTAAAGGGCTTATTGTTTCTACAGCTCCCCTTTTAGGCACACAGAAGAACCGAAAAAGAATCAACAGCTGTTTCTGATACTCTAAATAGGCAAATTGGGTTTGGGGGATGTTAAAATGCATAGGAAGTAGATGAATACACAAGAACTGCCACAACAAGAGCCAAGACCCTCCTGAAAAGTTATGGTGTGTGTTACAGAGAGGGGAACCAGGT